GACAGCGTCCAAACAGTTTGAAACCTGAGAATATTTTTACATTGTAATGAAGTATATTTTTGTTGATTTTTGCATGTAGGAACCCAAAATATTTCTTCTGATATTCCATTATTCAACCAACTCTTTATTTCTGGGGCAGTGTGGGAAGCGCCACATCGAGCGCGGTGGCCGCGCATATCAGGCGAGGCACCGCTGCCTCTCTGGGCGTTGAAGGTCAAACTCCAACCCCACTAATCTCGTCGAAGATGTGCGGTTTTCTGTTCTGAGCTACTTACTACTACTTATTTCATTATATCTAGTTGATCGCTGCAGTAAATATACTGCTTAACCACATTCCACAAAATGGTTTTCCAAAAGCACGCACATTTCTCAAGAAGTGCTACTAAAATACTCTCGTATATCACTGCAATAAATTAAATATTTTAATTAAAACTGTCTTCAAGAATACTACAACTACATAGTATTCTACCAACGTATCTATAGTACATCAGTTCTGATAATATCAATAATATAAAAAAATATATATTCCTTAACCCAACGCGTGAATTGCAAATAATTAACGATGGGTGGCCTCTTTGTTGGATACTTGCTGTCGCATGTCGACAGCTCTATCAATAGCAGTGACGCGGTGAATTTGAGAATTTTTTCGTGTTGTGCATTATGAGAATAAACAGAACAACTATTCCAAAATCTGTATTTTTCAATGAAAATTGAAACCGTTCCACCGCACCGTCTAACCGCAGACCACCCCTGAGGAAGACATCACATAAGATGGTCGAAATGTCGGAAACAGCCTTCGGCGCGTCGTCACCCGGACAGCCAAGATCATTCACATGAAACCGTTTCATGCTTTTTAAAAATATTTTTCCGAAGGTCAAACGAAACCATAAACTGCCAACGTTTCTTTCAATTTTTGCCTGCAATCGAAATAAGTAATAGGGAAAAGGTGCCTCAATTTGGATAGATTTTTTCATTTCCATGCTCTCAATATATATATATATAGGTATATTTATATCTATATATATTAGTATATATATAATATCAGAGAGGACGGAGAGGGAGAGAGGAGAAGAGAGAATATTTATACATGTTTATTATGAATATTATAACAACCTTCGATCTATATACATTCGTTATATTTTAACTACATGTTTTCTATTAAAGAGGAATGTAAAAGATAATAAAAGTGTGGAATCTGTCTATATTACAATACCGGTTGCCTAATGTGGTGTCAAAATCTCCTAATTTGGATCTGAAAATAAATAAAATAACGGTGAAAACAAACAAATTGAAAATTTGAAATTGATTATTTAATATAATTAATATGTTACATTTTATTTATCATATTTGTATAATTTTATAGTCTCTTTTTAATTTTTCTTCATCTATGATGTTCTATATTGCAATATTACGTTGATTACATAACAACAATAATTTTCTTGTGAATACAGTTGGACAAATTGGTCAATGTACAAATGTCAATTAACAAATGAATAAATAAATAAAACATTAATACAATATATCCAGACGATAAAAAAAATAATTTTTGGATTCGTTGAACGAAATTAGTTTCCTAAGAAACAAAATTGAGAGCGCACTCCTATATTTACTGATATTCACACTTTTTTCTAATCATTAGGATTAGTATATCTAGAATCTATTATTATTAATATTTTGAACTGAACTTTGCCTGTCAGTTTTAAAATATTCCAAACTAATGAAAACACTATGTAGCATTAAATAAATGAATCATTTAGGACTGAACTTTTCTTTCGATGTAAATTTAAAATACAATGGAAAAAAGTGAAGAACCACCATGGTGGCTGGTAGCATTGGACTTTACCTCTGCTACTTATGCAGGCAAATTTCTTAATGCTAGATTTCATTTTAACACATCGAGTGTGAATCTATAATATAAATCCCAGACATACTAATATATCTTCTTCCTTTTCCTTTCTACACTTCGTTCAGAACTACGAGTAACTAGATTCAACATAATCGCGATGTTTCTTGTGAACTTGCGAACAGGAGCTTATTTTTTGCTTTTTGGAAGGGCTGTTGGTTAAAATAATGCTTTTCACTTCGTTCAGTAGATGATCACACTCAGATCACTTAAGGAAAACGTGTCAATCGCTTTGTTAAATAATTTCGTTCCATTGTTTCTTGTGTTTATAGATAGTATCATCAATATAATTCATTACCATTTTGCTTGCATTGAGCAGTTGCTGTTGTCAACTCCAATTGCCAGGACATTGGATGCACAATATAACATTCTATTTATAAACATACATTTCATTTCATGCTTTCTCTCGACTTGAAAGAAAATTATAAAATAATATTTATCAACCTCTTAAGATGGACCGGTTTAATAAAGAGTCAAATTCAGTCAAATCAGACATAAAAATAGATCTTTAATTTTTATGTTTCCCTGTTTTAATGTACTTTTTATTGTTATTCAATTACATAACCTGCACAGAGTAAATTATTTTATTATAACAATGAAATTTTAACATTGTTACACGATACGTTGCAATTTTATCTGTGATAGCCTGGAATTTCCATTTGGTCGTGGCCGTATGTTCATTTTTATTAAACTGAATATACTTACGCGTAACTAAATTGTGCGGGTCCTAAGGGGGGACAGCGACCGCACATGCTTTAAATTGGCGCGCAAATCAGGGCGCGTTCAGGAGCGTCAGTGTCGGTCGACGGCTAGTTAGGGGAGGCTTTCGTACGTGACGGAGGGATGAGTGGAGGAGGTGGGCGGACGTCGAACAGCGGACGAGACGAATTCAGCCTCCTGAAATCTGAAGCGGTTGAGAGCGGACGCGTGTTATACTGGAGAACAAGTATCGTAGTCATACTTAAGTAAAATGTAACGAGGCTTTCGACAAGTGTTTTTCTACGTTGTGCTACAAATATGTGAAGCAGTCTAAAATTCAAGGCAGTAGGCAATGAGAATAGAATATTTTAGTGAAAGGAACTCTAATCTGCACGATGTGAAGAATTCAGTAAACGTTTTCTAGTTTCTTAAAATTACGAAGGACAGGGTGAGGACGAGCCAGATATTATCTGGCAGAATTTTTTTATTCCAGTGCTCGCATATCTGTTATACGGCGTTTTTTCCTGTATTTGCAAAAGAAACGCGTTAGAAAAATCGAGACACGCCACTTCAGAGAATGAACTATTTTGTTGAATAAAACGCACCAACAGTTACTAGTCAAAGTAACGAATTCCAAATTCGTGAGAGAAAGCGCGTGAACGGGTACAAATCTGAGGAAGACCTGGTGGACCGAGGGAGCAGGAGGAGCGGCTGGGGCAGAAGCAGGAAGAGAGCTGGAGCTGCGTGCGGAGAGGGCTGCGCGAGAGGACTTCTGGAGGCGAACGGCCGCCGTTGTCCCTTGGGCAGCCAGCGGTGCGATTTTGGCGGAGCGACGTCGTTGCTGCGAGCGATTCGACTTCCGCTGGAAGGAGAGGGGCGACAGCCCACCTCAGCACAACATTAAGCATTTCTGAATTTGTTTTCTGTACGTGAGTGAAAACATTAGGACAGTGTTAGATTCGGAAGTTTATATGGAAACAATACTGCAGAATATTGAAGCCTAAATTGAAATAATGGAACAAACCTTCGTTTTTGCTAACTGGATTGGTTAACTGGGAGATATTTAACAGGTGATTGATGACGACCGTGTATCTTTTAAAAATAGAAACTTGTAAATATTAGAATAAAAACTTATTTTGGTGGATAACTTATGTAAATCTAGTGTAATTGTGAAAGAGGATGTAACTGTTAATTTTGTGTTATAGTATCTGCAATTCTTAATTAGAAGGTCGGTTTAATGAATATAGCGTAGTTGAGTGTTAAAATTTTGCCTGTAATTATCACATAGGATCCCATTAGAAAAGGTAACAATAGAATTTACAGCAAATGGTAAAGGAATAATACCAGAGCTGAAAACAAATTTTTGGTTGAGTACTAAAGCAAGTAATTATTTGGCAAGTGTCATTAATGATCAATCCAAGTGTGATTTAGTTTATGATTAACGAAATGTGTGTTAATTTTTGTTTGATCTAATAAATTCAAGTTATTTGAAAATCTGAGTTACAGTTTTTTTCCATCGGGTCTTAATTACGGTCCCTTTTTACATCTGGTCTTAATTAGCCACTTTTTACATCTGGTCTTAATAACCAAACCTACCCAAATCCCCCTACGAAAATTCCTGGGGTCTTCAGGTTTCCAAACATTTCTTTTAATTTTATTATTATTTTATGTGGCGCAGTACCATCATAATACATTATTAGAATTAAGTCAATTTTTGCAAGTAAAACTTTCGAATTAATATAGTTCACAAGAAAAAGTTGGTTCATAGAAAAAAAGCACTTTGTGCGAACGAAATGGACTATATGCTCAGAATAAAACCGTTATTCTGCAAAATTATATATTTTGAATGTTTGTCACTATTCTTGTGAACCGGTGACGTATGGTTCTATTAATCATAATCATAATTGCTCTCTGAAAGTATTGTTTTTTTTTAATTCGATACATAACACAACATCTTTAACAACGATACATAACATCTTTTTTGTATTCCAGCATTATAAAAGAACCTTTGCTGTTGCAAGAAATCGTTCATAGTCGGACATTTTACGGCATAAATATTTGACGTATTAGATCTTATGTCACGAATGATTGCGTCATCACACATTCAGCCAATCGTAGCGAGAGAATCGAGGGGAGGTGGAGCTAAACGGAACAGCCGACCACCTTTTACTCGCACGATGTCAAATACCCGAGTCGTCACAGGGAAGTTGTTTCGAAAAATTAAGCTTGATTCTCTTATAAACGCTCCTAAAGTCGCTCGTTTTCAAAACATGTTCTCATGCAATAAAGCTTAACATTATAAACTAATTGCATTAACTACTATTACAATATCCTACAAACATAATTCCGTTTTATGGAGACGTTATTTACGCAATATGAAATCGATGTACTCCTAAACTCAAATACTGATTACATATTCATCACAGGACTTTTGTACTCTCAAATTCCACACTTCTCTACCTCCAGGTTTAATTCCCAGCCTTTTCGGACATACCTGAGGTGGTTGGTTGGGCAGGCGATGGTGTGATAATGATTTTGGAATTCTGTCAATAATGGTGCAAAAATTTAAAATTCAAGGTAAGAAACTCCCTCCTCCAAGTAAATCTACGATAATCTACTTTTTCCACCACAAATGTCACTTCGGTCGACCGGGATTTGAAGTCCGGTTCTCAGAAGTGGAAGAAAGCAGTCTGAACACTACACAACGAATAGGCTCTGTTGCTTGCAAATACCCGGAAACACTGAGAGGTATTCAGGAATCGTTTACATGTACAAAAGAGCATCGTGACACAACTAATACTCCTCACAAACCGCAGCTAACACACTATGAAATAAGTCACATGTTTTGATTCTTTTGAAAACTCAACAAGTGAAAATAAAATATAGTACATTAAAACAATTTGTTATTATTTTACTTCTGTTGTACATTAAAATTAATGATAAAGTAGAAATTAGTTGTTGATGCTGGCTGCACCAAACAATACGATTAGGGCAAGTTGTACGCAAGTTGTGAGTGAAGGAAGAGCGCTTGGGCAAGACAATGTTTGACAAGTCGTGCACACGCTGTCGTGGGTGACGCATGAACAAGTCTACAACGCCAATATAAATGGGTTCTAGAATATACTTCATATCTGTTTTAATATTTTCTTCGTAATCTTACAGATTAAAAAACAATGTTGAAAAAATACTTCTATTTCTTGTAACAATTTGCAAGGAACAACTTCAATTTATTTATGCTTTTAAAACAAATGAATTAATTAACATTTTAAAGTTTTAGTACGGGACTCAAAAAAGGAATTATTTCAGCAAATGTTGAAACATGAGAAAAATATTAATGTTACGTAACACTTAACTAATACCTCCTACCCCTATTTAACGTAGCGTAAGGATTTCTCTGACCCCCCTCCTTCCTCTTTAGCATTACGTAATTTATGGACCATCCCTTATCACAATACATGATTACACAATGTAAGTCCGTTGTCGAAATGTATGCATTGTAGTTTTGAATTTCACTGTGCAACTAGTGTTGAGTCATACTGCGCATTTATTCTGGAGTTTGCTTTCTAAATTTAGTGTCGAGTTCCGAATCCAAATCAATCTCAAAAGATCGGACATTGACCTTCCTGTGATAAGATGAAATGCCTTCACAACTCTAGATTAATAATGACATTTCTGATACATATTTCAAATACGAAAAGCAACGTAGCTGACATGTTGTCGGGATGGTTAAATGGGACGCCATGACTGCTTCGCCTCAACAGGTTTGTGGGTTCGAGTGCCACTTCGTGTTTGCTCTATCTGTCAGAAGCATCCTGGCAAGTTGTAAATTTCCTTCCCTACGGATTACAACCGCACTGGATCTAACTCTGGAAGCAAATTTCCCTACCCGAGTGTTTACCATCCATGTTTAATAGGAAACTATGTCAGGGTCACAGTGACACGATCGTATATCGTCGAATAGTACTGAGTTAGCTCAACCGAAAAAGGAGAAAGCAATAGCATAAATGTTATGATCAAATCCTGAGTGATAGATCAAATAACATCGAAGTAGTAGCTTTCTCCTAGGATATTGTTTAAGCTTTCTGCTATCAGTGGCAGCTCGTGCAGGTTTCGAAAGAGGAGGAAAGAAGTCCTGCAAATATTATTACATTAAATGAAATATACAACAAATTAGATACACACAGACGTAAACGAAAATTGTGATATGTATATATATAATTATATATAATATTATCTATATATATATAGAGAGAGAGAGAGAGAGAGAGAGAGAGAGACAGACAGAGACAATGAGAGACAGACAGATGGACATAAAGAAAAACGCGAAAAACGGCAAATTGTCTGCAGAAAAACTCTCATTACAGGGAACTCGTTACGAAAACGTGGATAAATCCTGTTGCTAAATTTCGGGGGGAAACAATCCTCTAACACGTGGTGTAGACAGAATCAAAGTTTGTGGGTCCTTGATGCCGAAAAATCGAATCCGTTCGTCAACAACGCTAGTGGCTAAACCGTTCATGATTTTCTCCAAAATTGAAATTCCCCAATCGATCTGGCTCATATCGCGTCCCCTTAAATTTGAAACCGATATTTTAATTTTGGGGGTACTTTACAAAAAGTCCCAGGGACATTTTCTAAATTTTCAAAAAAATGGCTCTATCGTATTTGATTAAATTTTGTTGTTGAATGTCGAAGAGAATGGTGCAGGTCAAATGTTCGTTGAAAACAATTTTTTCTAAAATTGTAAAAATGAAAATTTTTGCAGCGTCTTTCTACAACTAGAATTATGAAGATAAATAGCTTTTTCCTTTAATGAAATGTGTTACTTAAAGATAGATTTTGAAATAATGTCATGTAGAAATTTTCGAAAGTATTAGTACTTTTCGCGTAATTTTGCGTGAAAGTACGGGCAATAAAGTACATACTGCTTTAGCACCGCTAGTTTAATTTAAGATGAAGGATTCAATAAGTGGATATCCAGACTAAAATCTTAAAGCTATGGCACGGGACAAGACAGAAACCTAATGGCCGTACGTACTAATGGCGGATGGCTGAATTTATATTAGCAATAGGCGAAAGTAGTCTACAAAAAGAGGTTTTTGAATTACAAACTATAACTGAACTATATATCATCTACGAAAACGAAAATCATGGATTTGAATAAATAGCACCGTGTACATCTAAATTAGATGTATACAACTTAGATGTAAACAACAACAACAATACTATTGAGCAAGTTTCAGGTTTTACTTCCTGGAATTCAAAATTACATACAGGGAGAAATGATGATATAATGAAGATGTAAAGGAGAAAATTGAAAGATTAAATTGAATGAACGCAAGAACCACAAGTACTCTAAAAAAGAACCAGAAAGGAAACAATTATTAAATTCTATTAAATATTAAGTATCCCAATATATTTATATGGCAGTGAGGATTGGGCATAGACCAAAGAAATAGTACAAAATTACCAAGTGCTGAAAAGAGATTTCAGAGATCAGGACTTGGTTATGCTCCCATAGACAAGACAAGGAATTTTAAAAAATTGTAAAGAAGTTGAGGTATGTAGTCAAGAGAAAATTGGGGACTACCTAAATTCTAGAATTCTACTTTTTCAAAGGATGCTCGACAACCAATTGCCGAAGAGGATCATGCAACCCCACCCTCGAGGGCGATGTAATCCTCGTCTTCCCTGAAAGAGATGGGTGATCAGATGGGAATGGAGGCGAAAAAGCCAGTGCCTATATCTCTGAGTTATAGGAAGTCACAAGGGAATATAAATATTCTTCATACTTACCAGTGAGAAAATATTCCATCAATTGCCATGTGAGCTGAATCCCAGTGGTCAGGGGTCTCGTATTTGCATCGCCGTCCACCGCAGAAAAATGAGCACTGGATTCCATTCGGAGTAACTCTGCGCAGGTTCTCAGATATTACATTGTAATTGGCGGACGGCACGTTGCCTGCCATGAGGTTAGGATCCGAATGTCGAGCCGGCATCAGCATGTCTACACGGACGGACGATGCAACGTCCGCTTCACGAGACATCCTGGCGGGACACAACAGGAATATTACATATTGGTGAAGTTTGAAAATTCTAGACACGATACAGTACACTTGAGAACGTGCGGAATATATTGTATTGTTTCAACTTTCTGTTCTTTAACTATTCTCAAATTTGAAGTTTATACACACTATCTTGTCAATATAAATTGAGAAATAAAATAGGTGTAATAGTGCTCAGCGCAAGACATGCTCTACCGCTGTAGGGCTACAATATATTTCAATTATTAAATATATATAATAAGAAAATTGGCGGGTTAAAATTCGGCTATGATTTAAATTAGTAAATTGTGAAATATTTTTTAAATTGACGTAACTTTCGAGGAAATTTTGCTCTAAATTTAAAAAATGAAAACAATTTTTCTCTCTCAAGTAAGTTTTTTATAGGAGAGGTAACATATTAAAAATGACGTTTATCATACCCCAAAAAGTTTTAATGATATCCTTGAGTATTTTGGTTCATAAATTTCCTTTTTTAGTGACTAGCAAATATCTGCTAATATACCTTAAGTCTACAGCCATTGGTACTTTTCCCCTTACATGAAATATCCTGCGTTCAATAGTCATCGCTTGCGGACTAAAGGTGATCGGGGAAGAAATCCAAGTGAGATAGACGGAAATGGCTGTTAAGAGATGGTTTACGACTTAAATTTTGATAGGTTTTCAGTTGCTTATAAGGTATCTAAAATTGTGAATTTTTTTCTTGCATATATTTTCCCCTAATTGCTTCAAGAAATCCTTTCTTTTTTTTTTTTTGCAAAACTCACGTTGCAAAAACTCATTAAATCTTTCGTTTCTTCGTAATTATTATCATGTATTCGTAATTCATTAATTATGCTACGCTTTCAGAATCATAATTCAATTCATACTGCTCGTTGTGTATATTTCGCGAATGTTCATTCCTGCCTGAGATCCGGCATAATATTCTGGGGAAATAATCTTATAGCTCCTAGGCCTTTATATTAAGAAAAGGAATTGTACGAATAATAAGCAAATCCCACCCACGTGATTCTTTTAAGCTTCTCTTTATTAGTCTCGCAATTTTACCATTACCTTGTTTCTTGATTTACGAATCAGTGTTTTTTGTCAAAAATGACTTATTAAGGGCGGGAATGTATGGGCTTATTAAGGGCGATGTCAATACCTATAACACTCGACGTAGTAATCATATTCGTCAGATGACATTATCAACAGCTCACTACAAAAATTCACATATAATACATGTATATTATTTTACAACACCTTGCCAGATGACATTAGACAATTAAATACGATACAAACGTTTAAGTCCCCACTAAAATCTTCTTTACTGCATAGTTGTTTCTATATAATTAGAGACTTTACCGAGCATCCCAAAGGAAAGTAATATTAATTTTAACACTGATGTTTAGTGTATTATTTACGATTCGGACTGTATAATTCTAAAGTATCTGTAACAAGTATTGGACCTCAACTTTTGGGTAATGACTCCCATCTCGATCAGGTTTTCGCCCAGTTTCCCTGATCCTTGAACAAATGCTGAGATGGCCCCTTGTTTGGCCTTTGGACATAAATGTATCTTCATTATCTGTGCACTTCTTCTAGAATTCAGTGGAAAATATAGTTATTCATATCATGGTTCTCCATCTCTCGCGGCAGGAAGTTTTATTTCTTCACGAAGAACATGAGGGATAAGAGCTCAAATCTATAACTGATTTATAGTTTAAAATATATTTCATTACATCGGAGTGAATATTTTGTTAACAATACTTGCAAAAAACGCTCATTTCTTTGTATATTCAAAGTGCAACTAGTACATGGCTTAGGGTAGAAGTCCCAGAATTATGAATACGTGTACAAAATGCATTTCTCCCCGTAGTACGTCACACACAGAATTTAATGTTTTTGACGTAAATGAATAAATAAATATGTTCTTTCATATCTAGTTTTGGAGAGTTTTCCATCCGAACACACAAAAACAATCCCTTTCATATCTGTCTATGACTAGACTGTCACGGTCCTCAATATTGATTTGGAATGAGGAGACTAGAAAGATATTTCAATCAACTAGGAAGCATTCATAACATTTTTCGCGTTTCATAAAAATTGACGTTAAACATTTTCTATTGTAAATTATTTCTACGATGCTTCCTGATCCATTCTTAGTGCCTTTATTTTCTCGTATTATCGGCTATTCTAACGTAATATAATCTTGCAACTACTGATACTTCAGTCATCTCTTGAAAAAAAGCGCGAGAGACTAAAAATATATCTTTAATTTTTGAATAATCAATAGATTCAGGAATATTTCTATTGTCTAAGATGCAAACTTCTTACCATTTCACATAAAACTATGGGATAGCTCCTTATTTTGAAAAAATCTAATATATAAAAATCAATGCTTCTTTGTTCGTATTTCATGCGCTGCAGTACCGTACATCCGATTGCGATAAAACTTTGTCAACGTATCGCTTGCACTTGGACGAAGAATAAAGGCATAGTACGATGGGAATGTGCGTATGTCGCACATAGACGCGCGTTAATGATTATTTTATGCGTCTGTGCTTACTAAAGCGCCCCTCAACAGACGCTTTACGAAACTAGCCGCAGCCTTAAGTCTTAAGCGCGTCTTTCTGCATGTTCGGCTCCTGCGATTATGAAATATCGACCCGAATTTTTACTTGAACGTTATCTGGGACAAGTAAATCAAATTTGTCCAAGACTGTAATAGTGAATGCATGCTCACACATGAGAGAGAACTTTTTACACTAGTATGCTTGACAACCTAGTCCAAACCAGGACACAGAACAAACCCACACTCGTGAGGAAGCCTTTCGCCTATTACAATTTGTTTTCGAGCGTAGCGTGAAACGAGATTAACAATCACTTTACCAGTAGCGTGTAAAGCATTATGCATTGCAGTAGCGAGATGTATATATATAACTAGTGGACCCGGCAATGCTTCGCCGGGTCCACTGGTTATACATACAACTTGTTCAGGATCTAGTAATAATATTTTTGTTTAATCTAGTTTTAATTTAGTTATAATAAAACATCTGCATTCAATAATGCAGTCGTCGCAGGAAGTTAAAACGTGTTTTAATTTTTGAAATTTCGAAATTTCTCAGACTTTAATGAAAGCTCTGACTTCTGTTCGAGAAATAAAATTAAAGAAAACTTGGGGTGCTACAACAGTACATACTTCTCACGTTATATTCAAATTTTGCAATTTTCGAATTTCAGAGATTTTAACGTAAAGAACCTGTGACACTTTAAGCGCCCTTTGATCTAACCTTGGAAAGCTAGTTAAAGCTAACCTTAAAACCCACTTTTTCGCATTATTTGTAACGTCTCTGCACTATTACAGTACATGAATATGCAAACGTGTTTCCCAACAACAACAACAACAAACAATTTTCCGCGCTGAGACATCAACTCTGGTCGATCCAGTTAGGTCGCCGCGCGTGTTACCGCTACACTTCGCAGTCGCTCCGACGCGCTCACTTGGGCGCATGCTTAGAAAACGAATTGTCTCCTCCATTGTTTCCAACCCGCAAAGATTAAGACAATTCAACGAAAATTATACCTGTGTCATTTTTTAAACCTCGTTTATCCGAGGGGAGGGAAATTACAGACAAATATTGGAGCGGTTTGTAAGAAAATGCTTTTATAATTGCATTAATTTCAAGCAGAAATTACGCAAAAACTACTCGTTTTTTAAGAACATCGTTATTTTAAAGACCTGATTTTTATAACAGATTTTGTTTAAGGAAAATATATCTATCTTAAATTTTGTAGTTTTGAAATGTTAACTGTGTGCACTTTTTAACTGTTCGCTGGAAACGCGAGAGACGCCAATTTGTTTTATCGTCCATTGATAATACGAGAAGAAAATTTCGAGAAAAAAATTAGAACGTTTTCGAGGGGAAAAACGTTTAAAACTTGTCTCTATTTCACGCAAAATTACGCGAGTACTAAAATTTTTGGAAATTTGTACATTACATCTTTTAAAGAGTTGTCTTTAAAGAATAGATTTCATGAAGGAAAAAATCACTATCTGTAAGATCCTGTAAATTGATCGAGGAATGTCCATTTTGGAAAAATCGGCTGAACGGTTTCGGCGCTAGCGTAGACCACAGACAGACGGATATTTTGACCTCAAACGTTTTCTTCGGTATCAAGGACCCACAAAACAAAGATTCTGATTACACAATGTGTTGAAGGTAGTAATTTGCTATTTGTGGGAATGAACTTTATACCCTTTTTCGTTATTAGGGCCCTTTTTCGTTATTCAAATTCTCATGGCTGCGAGCTCAAACAGGTCGATGGGAGAATATTAATTTTCGTAAAAAGTGCGGGTATTGTTTAGGCACTAGCGATTTTCACAACAAGACAGATAGACATACTGAAGGATCGCCAGGCGTCTTGAAAAACAACAACACTTTCTTGGTATCACGGACCCCAAAATGTACATTTCCGTGAAAATGGCAACGTAGATTTTTGCAGTATGTGTTTTACTACTTAATGTAACTACATTGTAAAATGTGTGAAGATAAGTGCTATTTTCAGATATTTGAACAAAAGGGAATATTCTTATGATACCTTTTAAAATATCATTCACAGAAGTATTGACAAAACACCCACAAAACAAAATGTAATTGGAACCGCATTCGTTTGAAGTATGTTTTTAAAAAAGAAGAGTACAATCCGTGTACATTTAATTTCGTATTTTTTTCGTTTTCTGAAACAATTGGTAACAGAGAAAATTTTAATTTAAAAAGGCACTCCACAGATGTAATTGTGGGTTTACTATTCATACATCATATATTGATATTATTTTTGTGTCACGTGAGTGCGCCTTTGTTTTCCCGCCAAGTGATTGTTGACTATAAACAACCAAGATGTGAATCATTACTTCACTTCCATCTTCAAAAAAGTAGGAAATAAAGACCTACAAGACTTGAATCCAAATAACCATTTACTTTTATGTTTTGGGAGTCTTTGTTGGGCGTCTCCATAATATCATAACTACGATACAATACAACAAAACATTTTTTTGAAGGTTGTCAAACTGCCGAATTAAGCGTAAAAAGGAGAAAAATCCTATTTTTCTTTAGGTAAATGAGAAAGAGATATCTCATATAGGTCGCATAACTGACCATACCACGTGCTCTACGACAGCTACGACGGATAAGCAATGTGCTCCAGAAAGCTCTCATAGTAACACAAGAAAATAAAGTAAAGTGCACCGTCAAGAATAAAGTTAGAGTAGCTTCAATTATTCGTTCCTTTATAGAATGGAATTCTTTTGCCACGCATTACCGATGTGTTGCGAGCAAATCAATCGTTGAATACCACTTACATGTGCGAAGGACGAAAACGCTGGTAGCAACTACCAAAACAATCTGGAAAGTTTTTCTGTTACGACATTCCATTAGACGGCGCCTTTTCTGGCTTTGCACTACGTGCAAAACAACACAGGCGGTTGCAGCAACACCGACGTTCAACAGCGACCCTCTGCGACTAGTCGCTCGAAAGCACTCCCTCAGCGCTCGCCGCCTCCGCCACCGGCACCTGCGCAGGCGCGG